AAAACGATTCTGAGCGAAGACGGTTAGTCTTATAAATAATAATATCTTACTGAGTGTATTTGATGGTATTATTGTGAATAAAATAATTAATTTTAGTATTAGGCATTAGTATTTTCTACAGAAGGTTAAATTCATTTTTTCCAAAAAAAATACATTTTAAAATATTATTGCCTGTATATAAAATATAACAATATTGAATATTATACTCTAAAATCTACTAAAATCATTTTTCTTGGTTTTAATATGTAATTTCGTCGAAATTTGAATTTAAAATGTCAGTAATAATAAACTGTTTTTATATATTTTTTAGATTTTTTAGTTATAGTATGAATTATTTATGAGAATCTTTGTTTTAAATTTTCAATCCATAGTTATAAAAACTGTACATTTTATAATATTTTAATACAATGGTTAATAATTTTCGAGATTTTTACATTTTGTCAATATTTCAACTTAAAATGCTTATAAAAAAAAGTGTGCCTTTGTATTTTTAATATTTTTCAAATGCTATTGTAACAATATATCACACTCAACGCTCCGCGCTCATTCAAACCCCATCATTAAAAGCTTATCATCTACCTCTATCATTCCTAGAAGGTTAAAAAGGCAATGGCCAAGAGATCTCCTCAACACATAACTAAAAAAAAAAAAACATCAATTAAATCAACTTATACCCTAATTTCTGGTCAGGTGGCACTGCTGGGAGCCTTCCTTCTCTTGTTACTTTTTTTTTACATATTACTTATTACTCTGTCACCACACTTACTTATTATACACTTATGTATAGATTGTAAATATACTTTATTTTAATAAAAAAAAAAAAAAAAAAAACAATATATCAGGAGACTTGTATTCAATTTTCACGTTTTTTGGCCCAACAAATAAAATTTTATTGTTATTTATAGAAAAAAAAACTAAAACAATTGGAAACTGAAAATGTCCGTAAACAGCTCATAATAGGTCAAAATATTTTGAAAATGTTATGGTGTGTAGAAAATGCTTTATAATAACATTCAGTCAAAATGTCATGTATATACTGTAATTTCTTTTAGAATTACACTAAAAACCAAAATCGATTTTGTCAAAAATTGGTTTTGCGTAAATATTCCCGTTTTTTCCTTAATTTTTCATTTGTTTTTCACGGCGCTTTTGGAAACTACTAGGAAATATTCCCCCCTCCCCCCAAAGTACCAATACTAAATTCACTTTCCTGTTAGAAAAGGTACTGTTAAAGAAAATACTAGCTTTGTTAAAAGGTGGCAATAGACACAAAAAAAAAATAACCAAAAAAAAAAAAACACACCAGTAAAATCAATACATTCATCGCTCCGCTCAGAATCTAAAATAATTCTTCTTTTAGAATATGTATTCTGTTAAATCACATTTTTATTATAAAACACTTATAAGTTATATAACACATTTTCTGTTATAATATTTTCGACCTTTAACAAATGGTTTTAAAAATTATTTTTCGACAAAATAGATTTCAATCTTATTTTTCTGGTAAAAAAACTGTAAAATGTAATAGAAGGCTGTTGAAAAATATTAAAAATACATAGGCACAATAGTTCTTTAATTTTTTCCTCTACTATATCAGTATATGTTAGATTTTTTAAATTAACATAATTTTGTAAAATTTTTTTGAGTCTAAATATTTTAAATAATTATTAAACTTTTACTTTAACTCTTATAAAAAGTGTATGTAGCTTACGCATTTTTTACTTTATTTTTTAAAAATATTGTTGAACGATATAATTTACGTATTATATACTTAAAACAAAAATTAAAACTATTTTGTACATTTTCAAGATACCACAAACCACGGAAGAGTGGAAAATTATCGAAAAAGATTTTTCCGAAAAATGGAACTTTCCTCATTGCTGTGGATCCATAGATGGCAAACATGTTGTTATTCAGTCACCTATACATAGTGGCTCTGAGTTCATAAACTATAAAGGAACATTCAGTGTAGTTTTGTTTGCTTTGGTGGATGCTAATTACAATTTTTTATATGCAAATATAGGATGCCAAGGGAGAATAAGTGACGGTGGTGTGTTTAAAAATACCGCTTTGAACAAAAGTATAGAACAAAATGAGATTATGTTTCCACCAGATGAACCATTACCTTTAAGAGAATTGCATGTTCCGTACCTGCTTGTTGCGGATGATGCATTTGCATTTACTCCGCGTATAATGAAACCGTACTCCGGAGTGTATGAAAAAGGTAGTAAAGAAAGAGTATTCAACTATCGGCTATCTCGTGCCCGACGTGTTGTTGAGAATGTGTTTGGGATAATGTCTTCAGTATTTCGTGTGATGAGAAAACCAATGTTACTCGAACCCGAGAAAGTAACAAATATTACCTTAACCTGTGCATTGTTACATAATTTTTTAAGAAAAAGTAAAAGTTCCTCTTCTAAATATTCACCAAATGGGATATTTGATATCGAAAACGAAGAAGGGCAGATTATTCCTGGTACGTGGAGACAAGAACAGAATAGCATGGCATCATTACTACCCATTCGCAACATACCCAGAAGACCCGGAACGGAAGCTAAAATAATAAGAGATGAATACGCAACATATTTTTCAACAAACGGAAAAGTACCATGGCAAGATAAATATTAATGTAATAAGATAATAATAATGTTATTTTAAATACCATCTTAGTTAGGTATTTTTTAATAATTTAATTTATATAATATTACCTATCGGCTATCATATTATATTATTTGCATATAATAATACACTGTACGTCTGTACATAGCAAGGTAAATAAATAATGACATTTTTTATTTTAAGTCTGTATAATAAAATATTCTGAATATTATATTTTATAATAAATTATAATATTACAGTACCTAAAAATAAGCTTTGTTTTATATTTATTGTACTTTTATCTAGGTATTTATTTAGAAATGTGTTTAATTTTTATATTTTATTATTAATCGACATTCAAGTGGTTAAGTTCCTATTGATAGTTAAATAAAATATGTACCTGTGTGCTTATTGTTGACCTAGGCTGACATGCTCCAAATAAAAATTTTGCCATGGTTTCATAGGCGAACCAATTTGGTTTGTAAACGTCTTCGGCACTTGAGCCTGTTTTCATACTACCCTTGACTTTACTCAACAGTGGTCTAAAGGTAGACATGAGTGACTCCTTTTTCTTCTTTAGCTCTTGTACTGTGCATTGAAGGCTGAAAGACTTTTGAATATTTGACCACGCATCGGAGACTGCATTTCGGTCTCTGTGTTTTAAATGTTTTGCATTCCAAATTACCGATTCTTGTTCGTATAGTCTTAAAAATTCAAGTACGGAATCATTTGACCACTCCATATTATTATTTAATTTAACAATGTGAAGTACTAAAATGAGTTGTTCCTTACACACTGAAAAACTGATGACTGATATTAAATACCACGGTCACAAATTCCAAATATGGAAACATGAACGTAGGTAATAATATTTTTCTAAAAATAACTGGATTATTCTGATCATTATAAATAAAATTACTTATTAAAATTAAAATTAAATAAACTCCGCATTCACTCACAAAAACAAACAATAAATCTAATTTAATTTAATTTATGAAACTAAAATAGACAATGAAGAACTTGTGATATTAATTAAATACAAATATTAATTATTATATAACCACAAAAATTGATTTTGAATACCTACCTATATTTTAATTTAAAAAAACGTAAGTATTGGTGCAGAGAGGGTATCATATAAAGTATATAGTACCTACGTAGATTTCTATAGAAAAATGCTAATCTATCAACTATCGATCTCAAATGTGTGCATATAAACATTGCCAATTTTTTAAAAAAATATAACATTGTACATTAAAAAAATTATTATATTATTAATAATACCTATAAGCTTTGGCGCCACTTTTACTGCTGTTTTTCCTGGTCAACACGAACCGGTCGTGGGATCAGTATTACAAGTATATTGGCCGATCCTTTGACTTGTGTCACATTTACCGACAATCGCCGGGAACGACACCAGTGACAAATAATTGTACAAGTATACCGATCCGACGGCATGGCAAGTAACCACCAGTACCAAATATTGGCCAAGTACACCAGTCGTGGGAATGCGGCTTTAGACATAAACTTATCAGTCTAGGCAGTCTAGCGTACATTTGTCTAACCCCGAACCCATAACTGTTCATCCGTGTTATATAAATACATACGTAAATATTGACTAGTTAACAGTGTAGCCAGATTAAAACAAAAATATATCCTATACTCGTAGACACCGTTAGGACACCATTCAACCTCGAACGTGTCCGTCGCACAACGCGAAACGTTAGTTGCGTTGCTTAACGAATATCGCGACGCTTTTGAGAAAAACATCACGGAGTTGGGTTGCACCGATGTCATCGCTATGGACGTCACTGAAGAGCCGGGCAGTTTGCCTGTTAGTTTAAAACCGTATCGGACGTCACCCTCCGACCGACGTATTATAAGCACCACATTACGCGAATGGCGAGAAGCGGGAATAATAAGCGACTCTACTTCTCCCTACGCCAGCCCGGTACTTCTGGTTAATAAGTCCTCGGGCGAAAAACGGTTGTGCGTGGACTACCGACGCCTGAATCAACAGACCGTAAATCAGCCGTATCCGATGCCTGACGTCGACTCTCAACTCGGAGTTCTGTCACACGGTGTAATATTTACGACGTTAGATCTCTCCAACGGATTTCTACAGATACCACTCACCTCCGAAGCCAAAAATAAGACTGCGTTCGTTACCGAAGAAGCGACGGAAAAATTCGAGCGCATGCCCTTCGGACTTAAGGGTGCGTCGAGAACCTTTCAGAAGCTGATGGGTATTGTGTTCAAGGACCTGAAAAACGAAGGGCGCCCATTACTCGTTATCCCGAAGACAAAGCGGAAGGGAATCGTGACTCGACCGGACCATCGCACGGATTACCGCCGATTACTGGTTCTCTCGATTACGACGTTACGTGCGCCAACACATTAACATGTGTCTCGATTGTCTAGTGCACAAGCGACCGTCGGGCAAGAGGCCGGACTTACTGCACCCAATTCCGCCGGGAAAACGACCGTTCCAGGTCATACACATCGATCATCTGGGGCCGTTTGAGACGTCGACATCGAACAACAAATATCTGTTAGTTATTGCCGATAACCTCACGAAATACGTACAACTGTTTCCGTGCGCAACGACCGACGCCGCCGGCGTAATACGCATACTTAAAAAGTTTTGTGACGATCGAGGTATACCGGACCGGATAATCTCCGACAGGGGGACGTGCTTCACATCGCGGGCGTTCAACCGATTCTGCCTCGACCGCGAGATCGCCCACACGCTCAACTCTACGCGACACCCACAAGCCAACGGGCAGGTCGAGAGGGCTAACCGGACAATAATTTCGCTCCTCAGTATGTCGACCTCGGACCAACGCCGATGGGACGTGAAAGTGAAGGAAGTCGAGCGCCAGATGAACACCGCAGTGAACAAAATAACGACCAGAACGCCGTACGAAGCCCTCCATGGGTATCTGCCGCGTTTCCAGCCGGGTGCCTTGCCCACGCTGAGTCGTACTCGGAACGAAAGTAACTCGCCCGAGGAAGTGCAAGCGGAGGTGCGCGAGAATATAGTACGCGAACAAAAGAAGATGAAGAATCGATACGACCGAAAACATTTCGACGGCATTCGATACGAAGTCGGGGAGGTCGTAGTCATGCTGAGACAGCCCACGGCGGGCCAACCGTCAAAACTGCAAGCTAAATACCGTGAGAAGCCGCTGCAAGTGATGAAGGTACTTCCGAGCGACACATATCGCATCGCCGAGCTCGGGTCCGACGGACACGAGATTTACGCCACCACCGCTCATGTCTCGCAGTTGAAGTCGTGGCGTATTTTACGTGAATCCGACGACGAGGTGAACGACCGAGATGAATCCGACGACGAGGTGAACGACCGAGATGAATCCGACGACGAGGCGAACGACCGGGATGAATCCGACGACGAGGCGAACGACCGAGATGAATCCAACGACGAGGTCCAGCCTCATGCCCAACTTCGTCAGTCCGCAAGGAAGCGCAAGTTACCCGCGTGGCTCGAAAGCTTCGAGCTCGGCCGGCTCTAAGCCACCATTGTTTTTTTTTGTTTAAAAAAAATTTTTATATTCGTCATCTTATGATTTATTTTTTTTTTTTTGGGGGGCATTGTCCGCCATCGATTTCAATGCGAGCAATTTATTATAATGTAATCATGATTAATTTGGTGTTTTATAATCGCCACGCGCGATGCGCCTTTTGAATTATTTTGGGATTGCTCGATCTTTTTATGTTCTTTTTTGTGTTATACGAACTCTCAGTTTTGTAAACGGCCCGAGGACGGACCGTAAGTAGGAAGGCCGAATGTTAGCGATTTATTTTTTTTTATGTACACTCGGGCAGCACTGGTCGTCTGGCCGACCAGTCTGACTCCGCCGCTACACTTCGGGCGTATCGTTCTGTTTCGCCGTAACCGCTGGACACGACGTGTGTGTCCGCGGACGAACTGCCGTTCGGTTATTAGTAATTTCTATAGTTGTGTTTTCTCATTTATAATAAACCGTAATATCTTTATAATTTACTTAAGCGTTGTGTTAACTTATTAAATCCTGACACCCCGTTCATTAACGCGCTTACAAGTTTATTTTTGATTATATTATTTTAACTTTAATTACACAGGTGCTTGTTGTTGACGCTTCTTTTAGTGCTTAGTGTATAGCATTAGTGTTAGATTTAAGCTATGGCAACCAAACCAGCGAGGTTATGGAAGATAATAGTGCTTATAATATTCTAACACCTGATGATAAAATTTAAAATAACATTGTAATTGAAGTTTTAATTTATAATATTTTTTTTTTATTATTTAAAATATAATTACAATCTATACAACAATTTAGTACAATAATTAATTTAGATATAGTATTTACATATCGAGAATAACAGATGGGGGAGGGCACTCAGTAGTGCTACCCGACAGATTAAATTAGAAGGTCTCTAGGCCAGGAGCGTTTTAAACGTCTCTGGGGGTTATCAGGGATTGTTAGAGAAGATATGCGTTTTATTAATGGATTGTAATGTTGGATTAACTTGGAATGAAAGGAGACGTAGTGAGACTTTGTTAATTGAGAGAGCGATGGAATATTTAGATCTTTGTGGATAAATCTATTTTAAATGTAAATGATCGTTTCATTAACAACGAAATTAGCTTGATTGATTATTTAAAAACATTAGGATGTAAGTTTATTTCAATTTAATTATATATTGAATTATTTTGTATTATGATTTTTAATTAATAGTAAATTATTTTTTTAATTAATAACAATAAAATATGTTCAATTTTTAAATGTCAATCAAATGTGTGCGGTTTTGAACTATCGACCTTCCAAATTTCATTTTTTAACAATAGAATAAATGTGTGCGGTATTGAACGATGTAAAATATGCGGTTATGAACGGTGAAACATGATTTTTTCACCAAAATAAACGTGAGAAGTTTATCTAGGTTTGTCGTTCCAGATTTTAGATATCTTTTTTGTCTATTTTATATGATTGTTTGAAAATTTTGAAAATTTCAAATGCAAATATAATCGGTTTAAAAAAAAAAATTCGAAAATCTGGAACAACAAAACCGATAAACTTCTCACGTTTATTTTGGTGAAAAAATCATGTTTCTACGACTAACGAGAGCTGAGGAAAATGGGAAGTACGAAACCATGTTTTTAAGGCCGAATTTTCGTACCAGAACGGCCTCTTAACGTTAAACGAAATACGAATCAAACATCCATTGTTATCTTTGTACTTTGTAATCTCTCTATTTTGCTGTTATCAACTTCTACCGCGGATGGGGCTTGTAAAGATTGTAATGTTATAGAATATTAATTATAATCTTTATTCTTTTCAACGACACATATCAACATCACGTCACTAACACCAGCATTACCATGTATAACTAGGACACTATAGATACAGGTATGCTACGCCACCATTTTATACCACCATTAATAATCTTATGTTAATATGAATTTCTTCCCCTTTATTTTATCATTGATAAATGAGTCGCAAAATGGTGGCATAGCATACCCATTATACGTAGAACCTTAGTATAACGTAACCTAATCTGTAAATAAGGTGTCCGGTAGTGCAAGTGACTCGCTTATCAATCTACGGTGTTTTGATAAATAATAAACATACATTTTTTTTTTTAAATTTAAACTCAAAACCGGTACATAGCCAAAATTAATTATTTACGATTATTTTTTATACGCTATAAGATACGGCCAATTCGGGGGCATGACCCCTGTTTCCTCCCCCCCCAGGCTACGCCAGTTTACTCATAATTTACTCAATAATATGACAGAATAGAAGACGTGGGAATTATCGATAACGTTGTAGGCTTGAAGTGGAGTGGTGGCTGCATCGTCTACTGCAGTCGTTGACAATTGGGTTTTTGCAGTCTAAAAATATTTTCATAAACATGCGACCCCGCCAGCGTACACCACTACCCCACCATGCCAAGACAATATTATAATAAACAAAATTATTTGTCTGTATTCTACACGAGCATAATGTAATTGTTATTTAAAATTATTTAACGGGATTAAAATTAGGCTACACTACTTACTTGTAAATTGTAAATACGGTACAAAAAACGAATCATTCGAAGTTTTTCGGGACGAGACATGATAAAAAGGCGTAAGGCCGCCGTAAGGTGGTGCCGGTGGTGGTCGTAGACTACTGACTATATTATTATAGTTGTGTATTCGTGAATGCGGGTTCAGTTTTTGCATACAATATCAGCTGTGGCACGTTGATACACGGCATAGTACATACATTATAATATACAAATTACATAAAATTAATCTTATTTCTGCCAGTCAAAAACCATGTTATATGACAAAAATTAAAATAAAAGTATGTTTTGGTTTTAAGAGGACGTAGTACCGGCGTTTTCAATACCAAAAACATGCTCGCTTAGATTCCAAATTTTGCACTCCAGAGTGGTTTTAGGACATAAACACCTATTAACAAAAATAAAGATAATAATATTTTCGAGGGCCCCACGTAGCCTTTTTTCAAAAAATTAATTTTTTGAAAAGTTACTGTCATTTTAACATGTTGAAAAAATCATTATTTTTAAACGATGTACTGAGCTTAATATTTGGAACAAAGAAAAAAACCTACGTGGGGCCCTCGAAAATATTATTATCTTTAATTTTGTTAATAGGTGTTTTTGTCCTAAAATCATTCTGAAGCGAAGAATTTAAAATCTAAGTGAACATGTTTATACGCTGTAAAATATTCATTCTTCCCGTCAAGTGCTGCTACTAGCGGTCGTTTGCCGACGTAGGTTTTGCCGGCGGCAGCGCCCCCCACTCTACAACGCAATTAGTTCGACTAGACCACGGCTATACTTGTATCTATAGCCGTGGACTAGACTGAAATACTGAATTATAAAAATAGCACCACCGCCGCCGTAACAGCGATGGTGTGCCGTGTTTCTGGTATATTTATAAATTATAATATTGATAAATACTACGTACATATTATTATTGTCATATTGAACAACATAATATAATTCATACAACAGTCTTGACGTCTAATAGCATGCATTGTGCAAGTTCACTACGTAAACGTACGATTTACGTTCCTAGTCCTTAGTCACTAGTGATTAAACATTGTTTGTGAGACGTGTAAAAAATTGTTTTATGTTATTTTTGTTCCCCGTTGTTTTTTTACATTATGGGTAATAAAAAAAACAAAAAAAAAATAAATACCTGCAATAAAAGATTAACTGGCACTTCGCCGTTACCAAAAAAAGGAACAGGTAAGTTCGTATCTTCCTAGTCATTTAATTTTTTAAAAGTATAATTTTTTAGCTTATAATTTTATTATTATTTGGGGGGACGGAGTGGCCGAGTGAATTGCGACGCACACCGACGCTAGTTCAAACCCCCGGCCGCGGGTGGCATTTTTCTTCGGGAAAATCATGGCGTCCGGAGAAAAGTGCCGCCATCCCCCACCCGGGCATGGCAAATACCTACAACAGGTGCCCACTAAAAAATCTGCCAAACCAAAAACACACGTGTTTTTTTTTGTGTCTGACATCACCTTTCAGGACAGTAAAAGTGCTTGGATTTTCTTCAACACTATCTTTTCTGATAAGAAAGTGAATCTAGTTGGTACTTTGGTACCAGTAGTTCTCAAAAGTGCCGTGAAAAACAAAAGAAAAAACGATAATTATTACGTAAAATCTGTTTTCGAGAAAATCGTTTTTGGTTTTTGGTATAACTCTTAAACAAATAAATGTATATACATGACATTTTCACTGGTTGTTTATATTTGCATTTTCTATATACGATAAAGTTTTCGAAATATTATGATTTGTTTTGAACGGTTTAGGAACAATTTTATTTTCCGTTTTTTTTTTTAGTTTTTTTTCTAAAAATATCAATAACATTTTATTTGTTGGTTAAAAAAGCTTGAAAATTTAATATAAGGCTCCTAGTATATTGTTTCAAAGGCAGATGAAAAATAATAAAAATCCTTAGTCACAGTTTTTTTTTTATAAGCATTTAAAGTTCAAAAATTAACAAAATATGGAAAAATCACGAAAATTAGCAAATTATTTTGAGTTAGGAATTAGTAAAAATTTTTCTTTTTAAATCTAAGGTTTTAAAAAAGGAATACAAGAATCCTCATAAGATTATCTACCTTTATCAAAAAAAAAAATGTCTAAGAAAGTCAAATTAAATTTTTATGAGCGTTTGAAATTCAAATTTTTACAACATTGGATATTCACTCGATTTCTCATGTAGCGATCCCGATTTCCTTATTTTGTTGTAATTCAAAAACGAATTATGAATTTTTTTTGTAATTGAAAATTGTAAACAAGATTCAACGTAAGTAGTTATTTCTGTTACCAAAAATCTAAAAAATACATAATCACAGTTTATTTTTATAGTCATTTTAAGTTCAAATTTGGACGAAATTACATAATAAAAAATCTAGAATAACTATTTTAGTTATTTTGTTGTGATTGTATAATATTATTCGTGGCTACTTGAAACTTCTAAAGTACACTATTATATATT